GTCGGGGAGCTACTCCGAGTCAGATGCAGGAGCTGGCAGTGACGTTGAAACAATAGCATGCTTGACGGGAGAGGCTACCAAAGTCTCAGGGACTTCAGCCGCTATCAATTGATCATAAGTATCAGCAAAGTCCTCTAAAGAACTATCAGATAGGGGAAGCTCCATAGCTTTCTTTCTGTTCGCTTTGGTTTTGTAACGAAACATTCAAACAGATGAGAAGAAGAAAATGAGAGGGGATTTAAAGCAGGAGAGGGAAGGTTTGTAACACATATTTTAAGGGGCGAGAGGAAGATGAAACGAAGGCGGGACGTGGGAAGTTGGTTGGGGTAATGGGTCTTAGATAGGAAAATTAAAATTCACCCCCTCCCCCCAACACACACACGATTTTTCAACTTCTCATACTACGTCAAATTAATTCAAATTTGAAATTTAAACTTACCTCTAGGTCGAAATAATTACCGCCTCTCCTCACATTTACCTAGCTCCTTTCCTTAATTAGGCAAGTACTCCTATCTACACCTTTGAATGCCAGCCAGCTAGTGTTCAAAATGTTGATGTCGATGAAAATGTCGAGGTCCCGATTTTACGCACATGTCGATGTCGATGGATATTTCAAGAAAAATAATGGAAATTGTGGAAATTGATAGAAATTTTTTGAATTAGCAAATAAAACTTGAATTGTAGATTAATTAGCCTATAATTGATTACCTTTAACCATTAAATGTAAGAATATGACCATTTTACTTATGAAAATGTTAATGTCGATGGAAATATAGAAAAAGGATTTTTTTCCTATAATGAAGATTGATTGAAATTATTTGAATATGTAAAGTAAATTTTAATTGTAAACTTTTGACTACTTCTTTAGTTTTTTTCATAATAGGATTCATTTGGAAATGAGATAATTACCGACTTAGTTTCCAAAGACATTTCTAAATTCTAATTAACTCATACCTGTTTAATTTTTACCTACCCTTTTCAAATTTCAATTTACACATTTTTCAAACACATTTTCAAATCAATCATCAATCCAACTTTCCAATCAAATTTACACGATTTCCAAACACCTCAACCTCGTGATTGTGTCATTCATCCAAATTATCTACCAATGAGATCCATATGTGCTTGATATTCTACTCATTTGAGCAAATACCTTCAAAACTTTCAGTCTAAGATGACGTGAAAGAACTATTGTAATTTATATCAAAGTTATCAAGATAGTGCACTAGATCTTCCGAGATCATCTTTTTGGTATTAATTAAGTTACCTATTCTACTTCATTTATCACCACTATTTGTATATAATAATATTTTATTTTTTTAAAATTTTAAGATTATTTCAATCTTTATATACATATATAATAATATTTCACATATATTGTTCAATTGTGTAACTAAGGACTTCATTGGATTGGAAATTATCAATAAAGCAAATTCCAAATCTTATTAGTTATACTTTATACAGTATTAAAGTACGTATGTTTCATTGAACAGACTAAGATTACAATCATCGATGTTGTGAGAAATTATAGACTGTGGTGGCATAGTAGGAAGATGATGAAAATAAAATAACTTTAAAATAAGAAGAGGAGAAAAAAAAAGACATGTCGACATGTCTATCTCTCTTCCTTTGTAAAATAAATGTTCACAAAATCTTCACCAACCTGCCATTTATTGAAATCAAATCAGAATTTCAGCAATTAAAACTGTCTACACGAAACTCAAAATAAATTAAATCAAAGGGAGCTATAAAGTTGTATGAAATTAAAATTGAGCTCCTTTATTTTCAATTTTTTCCCCGCTCTACACAGGGAGGAGCTGGTGTGCTTCAGCATCACTGTTTAAACCTTCTCCCCAATAATGCTTTAATCTCTGCCCATTGATAGTGAACTGTCCTTCAGATTTTAACTCTTTTACTGTTACGACTCCATGGGAAAAAACAATCACTACTTGAAATGGTAAAGACCACTTGGACTTCAGCTTTCCAGGGAATAACTTTAGTCTAGAATTGTAAAGAAGAACTTGTTGTCCAGCTTCAAAGTTCCGAGGTTGTATATGGGCATCGTGCCATTTTTTTGTTTTCTACTTATAGATTTTTGCATCCTCACAGGTATCCATCCAAAATTCTTCTAACTCCTGGAGTTGTAGCTTCCGAACTTCTCCCGCTGCAGCATAATTAAAATTCAACATTTGATAGCCCATAAGGCTTTGTGCTCAAACTCCAACGGTAGATGACAGGATTTCCCAAATAACAACTTCTATGGGGATGTCCCCAATGGTGTTTTAAACGATGTCATGTACGCCCATAGTGCTTCGTCTAACTTAAAGGCCCAATCCTTTCTACTCGCTTTGACTACCTTTTCTAGGATGCTCTTGATTTCCTGGTTTGGGATTTTTGCTTGGCCATTAGATTGTGGGTGGTAAGCTGTAGCAACTCTATGTTTAACATTGTACTTAGCCAGCAATACTGCTACTGCTCTGTTCACAAAGTGGGATCTCTCATCACTTATTAGTGCCCTCGGTGTACCAAATCAGGTGAAAATATTTTCAAGAGGAATTTAGTTACCACTTTAGCATCACTTATGAGACAGGAAATTGCCTCAACCCATTTGAACACGTATTCCACTACCACAAGGATAAATAGATGTCCATTAGACGGAGGAAAGGGACCCATTAAATGCATGTCCCACAAGTCAAGCAGCTCCACTTCTAAAATGTAGGTCAACGACATCTCTGACCTCTTGGAGATATTCCCAACTATTTGACATTCATTGCAGCACTTGACAAATTCGCGAGCATCCTTGAAGAGCGAGGGCCAGAAGTACCCACTTTGCAACACCTTAGCGGCTGTCTTTTATTCATTAAACTGCCCTCCGTACGGTGCAGCATGACATTTCTTTGGTACTTGGGATGCTTCCGTATTCGAGATGTATGTCCGGAGTATGTTGTCCTGCCTTAGACTATAAAGGAAGGGATCATCCCAGTAGTAGAATTTACTTTTCATGAAAGAAACGCTTTAGTTTTTGCCTTGTCATACCGTCTAGCTATATCCGACAGCAAACCAGGGTTCATCCTCTTTTATGTCCTTAACGGAAATCACTAATAATTGTTCATCTGGAAAACTATCTTGAATTGCTACAAAATCTTGCCCTTCTTGTACTCCAGCGATTTTGGATAAATGGTCTGCTACTAAGTTCTCAGAACCCTTCTTATGTCTAATTTCCACGACAAATTCTTGCAGCAACAAAATCCATCTAATCAGTCTCGGTTTGGCATCTTTTTTTGTTAACAGATATTTCAATGCAGTGTGATCAGTATGGACTATCACTTTTGCTCCCATCAAGTAGGCTCTAAACCTCTCAAATGCAAATACCACCGCAAGTAACTCATTTTCGGTAGTAGTATAATTCATTTGAGTCTCTATCAATGTTTTGCTGGCATAATATATGGGATGCATCAATTTGTCTTTCTTTTGCGCCAACACTGCCCCTACTGCGAAGTCACTTGCGTCACATATTAGCTCAAAAGGAAGCTACCAGTTCGGAGCTGGAATAATCAGGGTGTCGGTAAATGCATATTTTAGTGTGGGAAATGCCTACAAGCATTATGAAGAAAAATAAAATACACGATCAGTTTCTAGTAAAGAATGTAAAGGTTTTGCAAATTTCGAAAAGTCCTTTATAAACGGTCTGTAAAACCCCGCATGGCCTGGGAAGCTTCGAACTCCCTTCACATTGGTGGGCGGTGGCAGCTGCTCAATGACTTCCACTACGGCTCTATCCACTTCCAAGCCTTTCTTGGAGACCTAGTGCCCCAACACGATGGCCTCTTGAACCATGAAATGACATTTTTCTCAATTGAGGACTAGGTTGGTCTCTTCGCACTGTTGCAGCACTCGCTGGAAAATGAGAAACATGCAGAAAAATTGGCTCCAAACACTAAAAAGTCGTCCATAAAGACTTCTACCACTGACTCGACCAGATTCGAGAAGATGTCCATCATGCAATTGGAATGTGGCTGGAGCATTACACAATCTGAATGGCATTCTTCTAAAAGCGAATGTTCCATATGGACAAGTGAATGTCATTTTGTGCTGATCTTTATGTGCAATAGTAATTTGATTTTAACCACTGTATTCATCAAGAAAGCAGTAATATTCATGCCCAACCAATCTATCAAACATTTGATCGATGAAGGGTAAGGGGAAATGATCCTTTTTGAGGAAATCGTCCTTTTTTGTAGCTTTATTAAGCTTCCTGTAGTCCATGCATATCCTCCAACCCGTAACTGTTCTAGTAGGAATGAACTCATTTTTAGCATTTTCTATCACTGTCATTCCTCCTTTCTTCGGGACATATTGTACCAGGCTAACCCATTCACCGTCAGAAATTGGGTATATGATCCCACCATCCAGCCACTTGATTATCTCCTTCTTCATGACTTCTTCAATTGCTGGGTTTAACCTCCTCTGTGGTTCCACTGAATTCATGCAATCCTCTTCGAAGACAATTTTATGCATGTAATAACTTGGGCTTATCCCCTTAATATCCGCAATTGTTCGACCTATAACTCTTTGGTGTTCTCTCAACACAACCAACAACTTGTTTTCCTTCTTCTTAGACAAATTTGCAGCAATGATAATAAGTAACGTGTTAGAGGTGCCAAGATAAGCGTGATTACAATGTTGTGGCAATGCTTTGAGCTCTAGCTCAGGTGGGTCCTTAACAAACTGCTTCAGCTATTTTTGGCCAACATCATCGATGTCTAATTTCTCATGCACTTTGGACCATGACTTAGTTAATTCCTTGTCACTGCATGACTTAGTTAATTCCTTGTCACTGTCCATGTAGAGAACTTCATGACAATCTTTTTATGCTTGCTCCAGCATGATGTTTAACTTGCTGCTCTGGTGCTTGATAACTCTACATAAGAGAGCGTTTTGTGGTATAATTTGAGCAATTTTGGTGTGTAAATGTGAGAGTCCTTATCAAAAGACCATGGAAAATAGAAGAAATCATTTAGTTTGGTCCCTGAGCTTTTAGAATTCTAAATTCCCTCATTTTAAATGAATTATGCTTAATTATGAATGTTTTTTTTGTAGGAATTGGAGAATTTATTGAGGGCAAGCCAAGTGCTTCCAAGGCTGTAAAAGTGTTGCTGGAGCATGACAAGAAGATGCATTTATGCTACAGCATGAAGCCGCTCAGGTTGCTTTAGAGTGTATGACTATACAATAACTTATTTGCACCAGCTTTACCGTGTCTGTACAGCTTTTTGGTGTAGCCTTAATTTTAAGGACCCGATATAAATAGCAGAATAGTGCCTAGCCGCCACAGGGAGTACCAGAACAGAAAAAAAATTTGGGCATCAAAAAGAGGGAACATTCCCTACCTTTTCTCATCGAAGAAAGAGCTGAAGGACGTGGCTGATTCTCCTTGTGATATGCTTCATGCAACGCACATCATGCCATAAAGGCTAACCGATGAAGAAGGAGATCTCTGCTTCAACATGTAGACAATCAAGCTTCATGAGGAAAGAGAACAAGTGGAGAAAGAAACTTCAAGGGAACATGAAAACACAAAACAAGAGATCTCTAACTTTTAGGGGTTCTTTAGGGCTTGATCATTAAATTAGTGTTTTCATGTAATTAGAATTGTAACCTTCTTTTGGATTTATGTAATAGCTTTTCGATCCAACTTTAGGATTATGTAACTTAGTTAAGTCCATTTGTAACTATTTTATTCTAGGTTTAGTTAAAGTATTTTTCCTTTTATTTTATGGAAATTCAAGATGCCTATAAATAGGCTTCTTCTTGTACATTTGAGGGTTGGATGATTGATGAATGAAAATAGCCATTGAGCTTTTCTTCTTTGCTCCCAAAATCGTGAGCATTGGTGCATCTTGATCTAGTTGCACAAACCTCTTGAAACATGCAAGTTTAGGTTGGTCATCAAACTTGCGGAGTGATTCACTTTTGATCTAAAACAAGTTCTCTCTATCCAAAGCCTTGACCTTTAAGTTAAGTCCCTTCTTCGTCCCCTTGGGTGATTCTTTATACGTGTACTAGGTGTTGTCATGTGTGTTTAGAAGGTGCTTCTTCTTACAAGGGTTGCCTAAGCCACTTGTGGTAGGGTTGAGTACATCACCTTGGCTCCATCATCTTGCTGCCCAGGAAGCTTCCATTTCTCTGCTGTATTCTTCACCGATGGAGTCCATTCTACCCACTCTTATCTTTTCTTTTGTTATGAACTAAACCCCACCTTTGGGGGGGATGAACTCTATGTAGCTCTCATCTATTTATGTTTCAGTAACTCATATATGTTTATGCTGATTTAATAGAGGTGTTTTTATTCTTTCATCTTACTGATTTTGTTTGGCCAACATTATTACTTTGTTATGCTCACTTGAGGCTTGGGAAAGTTCTTGTGTTGTGTGTTTGCCTCTATTTACGTTAGATTTCTTTCTTTGAAGTAGAATGGTGAGTACTCAGGGATGGGACTCACCTTTTTGTACCTATAAACTGTATGTATTGCTTGTTTAGTCTACAAGGGAGTTAGGGTTAAACATGTTTAGGTATCTCGAGAGAGAGACATGTATTTTTGGGCATTCAGAATTTTGAGTTTACTAGAGCATATCTAGACGTGAGTGAGAGCATTAGAGTGATTCCCCCTCGATTTAGCTTCATATAGCATCTTTTTCGTATTTTCTGTTTGTTTTCCGTTTTCGGATGCTCTAGAGCATAATCGTAGAAATATTTCTGTTGTTGCTCATTATACTGTTTTTATTATTTATTGTTACAGCATCTAGACCATTCTAAACAAATTATTTTTATTTTACCTTTTGGTATTCTTAGTTGCTATTTCAAGTAAAACTGTAATCCCTTTGGAGACGACCTGTTTGGATACTACAATTGATTATTTAGTGTATACTTGCACTAATTTCCTTTAGTTGTGAGGAAGCGAACAAGTTTTTGGTGTCGTTGCTGAGATTTAGTTTTCTTACTTGATTTTAGCAAATTAGAACACGGAACTTAAAAGCTCTCTTAATCTCTCTCTTGTTGATTTGTGTAGTGAATGAATGATTTTCCTACTTTGGAATTTGAGTTTGACCCAAAAATTTAACGAACTTTTAAAAGGAGAAGAGTCGAGCAAAGAATCCAGCATAAAGAAGTAATTGAAATGGATAACCCACAACGTCCATGAAAGTTATGACTAGAGGAAATACAAGGGATAGTAGCTGGAAGACATGCTCCAGCACTTCCTCTGAATGTTATATATGTTGCTCGTGGATGATATAGACTAGGAAATTAGAGCTTATGCGGCCCCAAAATTCTATGACTTCAACCCAGTGATTGCGGATCCTCTTATTGAAGCTGATAGATTTGAGCTGAAGCCCGCAATGTTTCAGAGGCTCCAAACCGTAGGATATTTTCATGGGCTTTCATCAAAAGATCCCCATTGCCACCTACGGTATTTCATGGAAGTGGCTGATTCGTTTAAGATATAAAAAGTTAGTAAGGAAACTATGCGCCTGAAGTTATTCCTTACTCTTTGAGGGATCCTGCTAGAGCATGGTTGGATTCCTTACCTGCCGAGTCTATCACCTCATGGAATGACTTAGCTGAAAATTTTTTGATGCAATATTTCCCAACATCCAAACATGCAGAGCTTATGAGCAGAATCAATAATTTTCATCAACTCCCTAGAGAGTCCTTGAACGAGTCATGAGAGAGATTTAAAGGACTGCTCCAGAAGTGCCCTCATCATGGAATCCCACGGTGCAGTCAAATAGAGACATATTATAATTGTTTGAATGAGGCCACGCAGTTGGTGATAGATGCTTCAGCGAATGAAGCATTATTATCAAAGCAGTATGTTGAAAGCCTTTGATATTTTGGAAAGAATCTCACGCAATAATCGCCAATGGTCAAAATCAAGGGCCGCTTCAGCAAATACATCTAAGGGATTAGTAGAGGATGATGTTGTGGTAGATTTAAATTCAAAAATTTCAAAGCTAGCAAACATTGTGATGATGAGCATATCGCACTCAAATACTAGAGCATCCAAGGCTAAGGTAAACAGTAGTGTGCAGAATGTTTCATACCCTTATTGCGAAGGAGAGCATCATTTTGAGGATTGTCTGGGCAACCCAGCTTCAATGTTTTATTTAGGTAATCAACAGCCAAACAGGAATAATGTTTATGGAAAAATTTATAATCCGAATTTTAGCTGGGGTGGAAATCTATCAGCGCAGAATGTTGGAGCAACTGGAACCAGTAATGCTCCAGCATAACATCAGAAGGTGCAATACCCACTTGAATTTTTTGGGCAGAATCAACAGGCCGCTCCGAAACATCCTAAGGCTATGACCCTGAAGGATATGTTTAAAGCATATATGGTAAATAACGAGGCTTATATGGCGAAGAATGATACTACTGTTCAAAGTCTAGTTGCATCCTTGGGAAATATAGAGGTGCAATTAGGTCAGCTAGCCACAGAATTGAAAAGTCCACGAGGAGTGCTTCCTAGTGACACTGAACAATAAAAAATAGGTGGGAAGGAGTAATGTAAGGTCATTACATTGAGAAGTGAGAAGACATTACCTCATGCGCATCCAAATGCTGTAGAACTTTATAATGAATTAAATCAAGAAGAAGAAATTGAGGCAAACATGACACCTATAACCATACCAGTTAAAAAAAAAAGAACAAACCTCAGGGAGTTAATGAATACAGAGTAGATAGTGGACCCGCAAGGCAACACAAGCGAAGAAGACAACCAAGTTGCTAAGACGGACAATGTTGGAGCATCTGTGTCCAAAGCAACTGAAAAAGCGAAGCATCCGAAATAGGCCACTACTCCAACAACCACAACAGAATATGTTCCTACAGTACCCTACTCGAAAAGACTGCAGAAAAAGAATCAAGATGGGCAATTTAAACGATTTCTTGAGGTACTTAAGCATATACATATTAATATCTCATTGGTGGAAGTCTTGGAGCAAATGCCTACATATGTGAAGTTTTTGAAGGATGTGCTCACTAAGAAGCGTAGGCTGGGAGAGTTTGAAACAGCCTGCTTAACCAAGGAGTGTAGTACAATTTTGACCAGTAAAATACCGGAGAAAATGAAAGATCTTGGAAGTTTCACAATACCAGTTGCAATCACAGGTCAAAAGATTGGGCAAGCACTATGTGACTTGGGAGCGAGCATCAAATTAATGTCTTTATCTGTTTACAAGAAGCTAGGCATGGGAAAAGCTAGGATTACCACTATAACTATTCAACTGGCAGACCGTTCCATCACTCATCCAGAAGGGAAGATTGAAGATGTATTGGTACAGGTAGATAAGTTTATATTTCCTGCCGATTTCATAATCCTTGACTATGATGCAAATAAAGAAGTGCCAATTATCCTTGGAAGATCATTCCTAGACACAGGGAGAACATTAGTGGACGTACACAAAGGAGAGGTCACCATGCGTGTGCAAGATCAGGAGATCAAATTCGTAGTGTATGACTTCATGAAGTACCATGCGGAAGTTGAAGAGTGCTATGTGCTAAAAATTCTAGATGAAACACTATTAGAGACACTAAACTCAGAACCTATGTTGGAGTAGGCGGATGGTAGTAGAAGAGTTATGTTGGAGCATACTGTAAGCAGGGACACTGAGGCTCAAGAAGGTTTTAGCCATGTGGATAAAGTGCATATCATTGTAGATGAAAAGACACCAAGCTTACTTGTAGAAGAGCCACCCGACATCGAGCCTACTCTAAACTTGTTGTTCCTCAGCTTAATAGCTAGAGGGTAAGTGCAAGTGCACACTGTCACGAGTAATAATTTGGAAATATTCCAAGTTTGTCTTCACAGGGACTAGTTTTCTTTTCAAATTGATTTTGTAAACTGCTTGAATGAGCAATCGAGTTTGGGAATAAAAATTGATGGAATTGTTGGGAACACAAATTAGAAACAGAGAAATTAAAATGCCAACCACCATACTAAGATTTAGTTCGAAAAGATGAATTATACCTATCAAATGTGCCCGTAATTAAACTCAATTTATGCAAACTGGTTCAACTCCTATTCCATACTGCTTTTGGTTTGTTTAGAAGCTTAGGCTAGTGTTTAC